TTGTACAAATTCTGAAAATCTTTTAGAGCTCCTTGTATTTAAGTTTTCATAATCCAAAACATATTACACATTAATGAATTAATCGGTGTATGTATATGTATATATATATATATATATATATATATATAAATAATTTAATTTACAAGTGTCTTGTTTGTGATTTTTATACCTTCTGACCTTTAAATCAAACCATCCTTGTGATTTTATGACATTAATTACTGCTTTATTTAATCAGAAACGCAATCTTAATGTTATTTGTTTGCACTGTTGACTATCGCACACCGGATGCCTCATTCTGTACTCGCATTCTCAGATTAAATGCTCAAAACAGTGAATCTAATCATCATTCAGAAAAAGGTTTGCTTCAAGAATGAGCCACACTGCTGACGTGATCTTATCGCTAGCACTCCCTGAGCACATGTGAGTTACTCGTCTTATCGGTAAGGCATATCGGCATAATTTTTCATATTGGGCCGATACAGACATTTTAAAGGGATTATAGGATGCCCATTTTCCAGAAGTTGATATGATTCTTTAGGGTCTTAATGAAAAGTCTGTAACATAGCTTGGTTAAAATTTCTCAATGGTAGTGTAAAAACACCTTTTTTACCCTGTCAAAAACATCTCTTTTCAGAGCAAGCCGTTTTGTAGCATGTTCCTTTAAATGTTAATGAGCTCTGCTGACCCCGCCCCTCTCTTCCAAGCTGCTCTCCATCTCTTTTCAGAGCAAGCCGTTTTGTAGCATGTTCCTTTAAATGTTAATGAGCTCTGCTGACCCCGCCCCTCTCTTCCGAGCCGCTCTCAGAGAGACTGTTTACTTTAGCCGCATTCATCGTGAAACTTGCTAATTAGCACATTATTAGGAAAGGCGATTTGCAAAGATTCATTAGAAAACCTTACACTCATTTCTTCTGTAGGTGAAGCTGGATCACGATTGATTCGCGCGAACAAACGCATTTAGGTAGATCGGGGCGGCTCAGATGTCGGGAGTAAATGACGACTGCCATGTTCATTATTACATCCAACAACACCTCAGTTACACACACTGCCAACACACATTTCAGTTCAAACAACTTGTAAGAGAGCATGTCGCATCATATGACCCCTTTAAGCCATTATCGGCCGATTTCAATAACGTTCCGATAATATCGTGCATCCTTACAATGTAATAATTTTTACTGCATTATGGTAAAGAAATTATTATTATAAAGTTATTGTTTTCTTACTTAAATCAAGACAATACAACAAATACAATCATGACGTACTTTGTTGTAATTTTCTTGGTTTAAATTGTATATTTTACACATGACCTACGTCCTACACATAATGTTTACATGTTTTTTGAGAATCACCCAAATAATATTTTGCATGATTCTGAGCATGTGGCATTTCTCTCTCTCTCTCTCTCTCTCTCTCTCTCTCACACACACACTCTCTCACACACACA